CCGGAGCTCACATGGAATAAGCGAGCCATGCTTCCTAAACATGGCGAGCAGGGAAGAAGCTAGAGATGCAATGCCGAATTTTTGCACTTCCGAGGAAGCGACGCATTAAACGCATATTACTGCACTCATGCCGGACTCACATGCACTGGCATTCCCGAGAAAAGACGCGTTAAAATAAGGACAGAAAGAATAATGGAGGTAATCCTGCGCACCTGCTCTTGCATTAGACGCACTGTTACTGCGCATGCCCTCATGTCAGATGCACATGCCGCCATCCGAACATGCCGTTGCCCGTTTTGCTTCCGGATAGCCGGTATAGCTGGGAGTGTCAACCCGTCAGCCCAAAGAATCAGCCCGATATCTGGCTCCTGTCTAGCTACCCTGCAGGGCCACCATGGCGCCATGACGGAAAGCCGCTGTTAACCGGTCTGCGGGTCTCCGGGACCCTATGCTCCGCACTTGTGGGATTTCGGCAAGAGCAACAGGCAAGCAGAGAAGAGCCTTGAGGCAGGGTGTTGTTTGCTGTATCACATGGCAACAACAGCGACGATAATCAATGCACAGCGAGTGTTCTAGTTGCATTTGCGTTCTTCATTACGGTGCAGGTACATGAGGTTGAACCTCTTATCCTGGCATCTTGACTGGAGCTTCGTTGCACCAGGCCAGTCAAGTGCCCCTAGTGCCGAAAAATTAGACCGATGTAGGAGTGACCTTCTGTTCACATATGCTAAGTGCACACGCCGCAGACAAACAAAGAGGCACACCGGGACGGGATGGGACGAGCCGGAACCGGACGGGACTGGACGAGACCGGACGGGATCGGACTGCACCGGACGGGAACGGGTGTCTGTGTGTTCACGCGTGTCTGTCAAGGCCCGTCCTCTCCTCTGCTCTCCTTGGCTGTACTGTGCCGTCCTGTGCTGTGCAGTGCGGCGCGCTACGGTGCAGTGCAGTGTTGTGCTGTGTTGGGCTGTGCAGTGCGACGCGGGGCGGGATGTCGCGGCGCGGTGTCCCGTCCCCGTCCCGTCCGGTGGTGTGTTTACATATGCACAAGCACGATCTCTTGGTACATGCACCAGTCTCACACACTGCTCGAGCACCTGCACTTGTTGAGCCTGTTGGGGAGCACGTCCTGCCAGGTCTGGCAACGGAGTTGCACGGGGACTGGTGCTGCGCCGGAATCTTCTGAAGAGCATTCTATGGCGACTAACACTCTGATGCCAAGGTTTTGCTGGCCATGGAACCGCGCCGCTGAACTGGCTGCAAATCCAACATCTTCCTCAAGTAGCACGGCTCCCTCAAAGCTGAACCCTGACTTGCCCTTCGCTGCAAAGCACGACCACATGTGCTTGTCTTGGGCGAGCATCGAAAGCAGCATCGGGTTGGGAGGTTCGACGCCCAAGGCATCGAGCATTCGGCCTTGTGATGCACTCTGTTTCGGATACCCGGTGGGTTCAGTGGCGACACTTTTCCGATTTGAGTGCAAAGACCAAGAGCACAACACAACGCTGCCCGCACGTCCAAGCCAATGAACTCTTGTCGAATTGGCCAAGTGGCAATCAGACTTAGACGCCATTCGCCTTGGTGTCGGCACACAGGGCTTCGGCTCCGCGCAGCATGTGCTTGCATCATGGTTCAGCAGACAAGTTCCTTACTGTTGCAGTTTCGCACGGTTTTGAGATGCACCATTGTCGCCAAGTCTCTTTGCGGCGAGCTGGCGTATATGTAACACGGTGCAAGATGCGGCCGGCCGAAACAAAGCTGCAACGCTGCGGCATTCGAAAGAGAACAACAGATTGAGACTAACTACTCAAACTGCCTACCTGGATTCGTTCATGTCCACTGCACATTGCAAGAACATACTAGCCGACTCGATCTTCGTCCGTCGCTGGCAGAATCAGCAGATGAGCGCTTTACTGCTAAGAAGGGACGGATGCTCCAGAATGCAGGCCTCGCCACGGTATAGCGGGCTTTCGTCTTGGCCTCCGAATTACTCGACATTCGGTTCAATGGTATGCGGGAAGCAACTAATGAATTCCTGACGACTCCTTCACAACCTGTCAAGATCTTGCACCGGTGCAGAGATGGAATGCAAGCCAAAAGGATGCTGTACAACAGATTCAAGACACCGGACACAACGACAAACTACCCACTCGTCCTCTCCAGTCTGCCCGGGAAAACTTAGCGGAAACACCAAACGTTGGCCCTGGACTGAGAACCAGCTGCTGAACAGGTCCCCAAAACCCTAGAATCACGCACAACACCCAACATATCAGATCTTAAAAACTCGAAAAGAGGATGAGACCCCCAGGATATTCTGCCAGCCTGGTTTTGCTTCTTTCGCAAAATTGTGATGTTGCACACGGAGGGCGGCACCTGAAGTTGTAATCTTTTTCCTAGCCCTGGATGCACTACTTAGGCTCCTTGTACAGCTTCTACGCACGTGGTACTTGTCTGGCTGACTACCAGTCCCTCTACCCCCACTACTTCGAATACGACTACGACGACGACTACTACTACCACCACTCCTACTCCTGCTCCGGCTCCTGCTACTGCTCCTACTTCTGCTTCAGCTACTGCTGCTACGGTTACTGCTGCTACTATTTAGAAGTATACTACTGCTGCTACCCACCCCCAGCAGCACATGTCAAGACAGGGTACTGCAAATGCCAGTGTGTAGCAGTTCGGGAACGGGCTGAAAGTTGAATCAGGCCTCACACCCTCTGAGACCATGACACCGGACAAGCATGAGCGCCACACCGTCTCTGTTTCAAGCCCCGAGGCAAGGAGCGGCTTGGAGATCACGCCCTGTTCGTGTTGGAGCAGATGTCTTTAAGGGGCAGTCTCGAGCAAGCTGCAATCTGCAACAGGTGACACACGGCTCAGGGCTCGGGGCTATGAGTCGTCAGTATGTTCAGACTCTTTTGCTCATGGCTGCATCTTGCATGTGTCAGCGAACTTGGGAACCATCAGCTGGTCAAGTCACCTCCCGCTTGTCTATTCAACTGTCTCGCCTCTCTTTCCAAGATGGAGCAGAAATTGCTGAACTCCTGCAATCTCGCTTCAAGTTGGGCAAGCGATCTGCAATGAACCTCACGGCAATGGTACGTGTGTATGTAGTTATATATAAATATATATATATATATATATGTATGCATTTATGTATGCACAGATCTATTTATCTATCGATCTATCGACCTATCTATCTGTCTATCTGTCTATCTGTCTATCTATCTATATGTGTGTGTGTTCTATTACATTATCTATATACATGTTTACACATATGTGTTACATTGTGTAGAAATGTATTATCACTCCACCAAATCGACACGCTCAGAGGACTTCGCTCCTCTCGAGCTTCCCTGCCGGAGGGCGCCTCCGAAGACGGGCGAAGGCAAAGCTTGAGACGATAGAACCGAACCTCATACGATACGATACGATAAAATATGGTATAATGTCACATCGTATAATAGACTATACTAAACTTTAGTATATATACTATGCAATACTAGACTATACTATGAGGCAATGGAAAATGACAACTCGACACCGGTCGAACACTAACTGCACATAGCGAAGATGCAATGATTAAAGCGCTAGGCACCGAGCAACCTTGAAATGATCGTGATCCATAAACGAACATCTTCATCCGTCCGATCAACCCTAAACCCCAAACTGATCATAGCGGCATCGAATAAACGAACGAACCATCAGAGATGTCCCCAGGCCCTCACGATGTCCGACAAACCGTTTAAGAGTCGATGCGAGACCCATGAAAAATGCTTCTGGCAGTAGAAAAGACAGTGGAGAGTTGGAATTGCTTTTTCTGCTGTGCCGTAGTACGCTTCGTCACAAGATCCCGAAATGCGTCGCGGGTGCGTGTGACCCCGGGTCTGCTCAAAGCATGGCCACTCAGATTACACAGTAGCTTTACGAGTTGCTCAGTTCCATGCAAGCAGCCCGGCAATATTTACGTGCCCGCCAGGCGGTGCTTTTGAATGCCCTGCCTCCGTCGCGGCAAAGCCCACGAGCCACAGAGCATCTACGAGGACCTGCTGCAGCGACTCCTGCATTGGCTCCGTGAGTTCTTGAGACTCTGGTCCTGCGCACTCCAGCCTGCTAGGATAGGCTTCTGTAAACCACATCACGGACGAGGTCTGAGCCAGCACCAGAGCAATACTGTATTGTCCCACGCACATTTTGGCCATGCAGAGGCCTGGAAGCACACTTTGGTCTTCTTCGCTCTCAAAGGAACTGAGCTACCTCCTAACATGTTGAAAACTGCACAGCGCAGCAGCCGATTTTTCGAGGGAGACCAAGGGATGACTGCAAGTACCGGCAGTTCTCGGGCTAGAGCACATGAGATTCATGAGATGCATGATGATGCATGATGATGCATAGCAACAGAGACAGAGGACCCTTTGTCTACGGTACCATCGTTTGCCGGCTGATCGGTCACCCTCGGGGGACCTGTGCATGACTCCTGGCTTGGACAGGCAAAGCTGGTAGCAAGTTGGTCTGGTTGAAAGCCCAAAGCGTTTCGCACACTGGCCGTGGAGGATGAGGAATCAGGCTGACCATGTGCTGTAGTGCTTGGCGTCCAAGATGCAGAAGTCATCACTGCTAACTGTATGTACACGAGCTGCGACCCTGTTGCCACAACCCGAAGCAGCTTGTCAACGGCCCTCATGATCGGCGTCAGCGTGCTGCATAGAGGGTTTCCTAGATACAAAGCACGACCACAGCGCGCAGCGAAGGATATGCCTAAGTCGACGTGCGTCTCGTCTGGGTTGGCTACCAGTGCCCTGACATGAGAAATCGGGCAATGCGAGGCTCCCTGTTTCCGGGCTCAACCTCTAAGTCTGATAAGTGGAATAGTGCTGCTCTTGTCCAGCAAGAACACATACAAGTTCCAATGTAATGTGCTCACTCACACCTCACTTCTAATCAGAGCGCATCGCATACACCCGTCCAACAGCTGAGGCCTGCTTGCCATTCAGTCAGCCAGCTGTGGGATAGCCACCACTGGACTCTCCCTGACGCGATGCAGTTTGACGTACACTCGACTTTCACATGCCCAGAAACTCGCAACGAGGCATGTGAGAGGGAAATGTAAAAAAAACAACCAAAACTGCCAGAAAAAAAGATTTCGCCAGAGCTAGATGATGGTCGAGACAAGGTGTCTGCCACATCGCACACGCACACAACCTGCCTCTGCATTCGGATTCGGGTTTCTCTCAGGAGGCGGCTCCTCCGCACAGACGTGGCGATGGCCGGGCCCCAGCTCGCTGCGGCGAATTTTTGTTTCTGCATCTCTTTCCCGGGCATAGCACAGCTTAGAGAGCTCTGGAACTCCAAGCTTCAGACGGGGCGTCCTCTGTATCTTCGTCCGAGTCAGGGGCAGTGTGCGCCATGTGGCCGAGGTTGGGATTCAGCATGCGGAAGAGGCTTTGAATGCCTCGGAAGGGCTTGCCTAAGAAGCCACACCAGACAGCATAAGCATCGCACAGCCAAGAAACTTGCACAAGACGGGGCTAGAAAGTTGCTTCTCGCCTCTCCACTCCTCCTCAAACGTCAAGCTTTTCCGAGCCCTAGACGATTGCGCATTGCATCGTCGCTCTCCTCGTCAGAGAAACACATGTGCAAAGACAAAGCATCAAACACCCTATCCCAGGCTCTCTTTTAAATCCATGGTCCATGCTTCTAGCCGTCATTTCGAGAATGCCTTCACTGACTCACTTCCTACGAAGATTCCCTGTGACTGCTTCAGCTGCATCGGAGATAAGTTCCTGCAAGTCTGCTAAGTTCCTGCGCTCTCCTGACATTTAGGAATCGGGATCAACTCCGCGTCCTGCGCCTCGAGGTCTCTTTGCTGCCTCGCGAACATGGCCAGCGTCCGAAGCACCTGGGCCGATGCTGCCGGAAAAGCAACATGCCGAAAAAAGGGTGCAACCCCGTTTAAGCAGCAGAAAATCTTACGCTCCTGAAAACAGAGCAAAGGATTCCTGAGCTTGTTGGATGGGTATACCTGGTCCTCTCTTGAAGCGTGGTAGTGACCCAGTCATCACTACAAATGTGCAAAGTTGCTGCAATGTCCTGACCCTGAAGACATCTTCCCGCCCCACAGAGCGACCTGTAATCTGGCAGAGTCTTCGTCGTACGTCCCCTGCCACAGCACAGGGGCGTCATGGCATGGCTGCAAGGTTGCAAGTTTCCGTTTTTGGGAACAATAGATGCAAGTGTTGCTGTTTAGGAGACGTTCCAAGGCGAAGATCCGCCGAGCTTGTCCAGCCTCATCGTCCATCGGCTGCTCGTCCGCTCCATCCAATCTTTCCCGAAAGGGGTCCTGTCGCAGACTTTCATGACAGCCACCCGTCCCGGCCCCCTGGCGGCCCCTCCCGGGCCCTGGCGGCCCCTGGCGGCCTCCGTGGCACTGCTGAACCATCGAGGGTGCATAAAACCTCAGGGAAGACAGGGCCGGGGCGGGCTGGGGTGGTGAAGCGGTGCCTCGGCTGTCTGCTCTGCCGAGCAGCCAAAGACATGCTTGACGAAGATGTCCCGAGGCACGATGTGGGCCGGTGAGTTGGCTCGGGTTGTACTGAGAAGCACCTCCAAAGTTCGGAAAGGAGACCCGGGCCATTGTCTGACGGATGTGCTCAGACGAAGCCTCACGGACGGCATTTCGGAAGCCCTTGCTGTGTGCAGCCTTGGATCAGCACCCAAGGAAAATAGTGGCTGAATCTTATGTGTCGGATTCTTCACAGCTTTGTAACGGCACATGACGGTTGCTGTGTGCTTCCTTCTCTCGCATGGCGACAGCAGCACGTTAAACTCTGTCACTACACATCACGCGGTGCCCTTACCGCGGACAGACACTTCGAACCAATATCTACCCGGTTTCAGCTAGAACTTGTGCAGACTGCTTCATTGCTGCTTGATGACCCACGGCACTCTTGCATGTTAAGCCACATGTGTGGATGGTGTCCATGGCGGTGACGGCAGCACGAATGACGGCCTGAGGGACGCCACAGAACAGCGGGAAGCTCAAGCTGCAGGAGATTGCTTATTGCTTCCCCTGCGGCACGCCTTCTCAGCGGTTCCTCTGACGGCAGCAATCGGCCAAAGGACACCTGCACATGACAGGACGCAGTAGCAGTGTAGGATCATGCTGGCATCAAAACAAAAAGTTGCAAGCTGGCCTGCTTCAGGTTCTTGACATCGAAAGTGGTTTCGGACCTCGAGCAGAGATCTGTCCGCTTCCCACGGCACTGCCAATCCACCCTTCCTGAATGTCTCCGGCCAAGACTCGTCCGCAGCACGCGGCGGATGTACTGGCCGGAGGATGTCTCGAAGGGACCCACGGCCACCCCACCAACCTCAGACTGTTCAAGTCGGCAGAACAATCTGGTGAAATCGTCACTTACACGAAGCCCGGGAACCTGTAGCAGTGCCAACAAGCGCTTTGACTGGCCACCAGCACAGGCTCCAAGGTACATTCGGTCGTAACGAGGGCACATGACCTCAGAAATTGAGCTGGAACAATGGAGATCCACAACAGACTTTTTTGATATGCAGAAGTCAGCCCAGCCCTCACCCGGATCTCCAGAATCAACGTACGGTTGCAAAGTGCCACCACAGGGCCAAGTCCAGGTCGTGCGCATTGACCTGCTGTTGGTCTACCAGGCCGTCGCACCCGAAAAAAACTGATGGCAAGCGCCCAACATGCACTCAGCGGCCAGCTCCTTCTTCCGGATCGCAAAGCACTCTACTGGCAGCATTGCATCCCACCTCGAAAAACTGAATGTACTCCTTGTTCTGCACGCGAAGCATGTCCTGCAGTTCAATCGAGCTAACACACTCTTTTGGAGAGATGTTCCACGAAGTGGCCCCTTGCTGCCCATAGAGCCGTGTCCTGCGCATGGTCCAGCAGATCCGAGTACAAGTCTACACCTTTGTCTGCTCGTCATCAGGTGCTTGTACCAACCCGTTTCAGTTGAATCTTCCCCCCTCTTTTGATACTTTGCTTTCGCGTTTCCTTGCACATCTGGTTCTGCCACCAGTTTGTAAACAAGAGCAGACAACCTTTGCCAGTCTCTCCTACATCAACCTGCCCCAACCCTACCCCTGCAACATTGCAAACGAAGTCCAAGATCTTCGCCTACGGGGCAGCGCTTGCAGCTGCATACGAGTATCTGGGTGCGGGCGCCTGATTAGAGTCAGGCCTATGCAACTAGATCCAGCAGAAGATGCTGACCTGACAAGTAGCGCCTGAGCCCAACTTAGCACAACCGTCCGGCAGAAAAGGGCTTAATCCGCCTCGCCAAGAACCCTGAACGCTTGCGTTGCGGACGGCGCACCGTGGTGGAGGGCAGGACCTGTGATCTCGGAGACGATCGATGACAGGTAGCCGGTCCTCAGGCTTCGCGTTGCTTCACCCACACGATCAGAAGCAGCCGTAGAGAAGCCTCAAGCTTGACCTGAAAGACACAGTCCGTAGTCTGTAGTACGGAAGGTACGCACCTCGTCGGCTAGATTGCTCGAATCGTAATACTGCGAAGATGTAGCCGCATTAATATGGATAAGAACGTAAGCGACAAGTCATGCCACCACTAGCGATCTATTGAATCAGCAGACCAAGAGTGGCAGGAGCTTGAGTTTCGCTGAATGCAAAATCGGGTCTTCTACAAGACCACCTACGCGGCTCATCTTCTCGATCGGGTGATCATCGCTAAACGTTCTCTCCGTGGGTCTTCCGGCCCTGCTCGGAAGGAGTCCGCCAAGGAGCCCTGAGCCCACGTTCAGGAAGGAGAGACCCGGTGAAAGATCCAGGTTCGCCACGGCTTCTGCGTACAAAGAGGGCTGAGACCTGAAACTTCTCACCGCAACTTCGACCCCCATGCAACCAGCTTTCTGAGAGTGATTATGATTCATTGCTGCACATCGTGCTACTTCACAGTGGCTGGCCGGACTTCGTGCATGCTCGATATTGCAGCAATGTGCACACACATGCAGATCTCTTGTGCAGGCATAACACCACTACCACAGAGCTAGAGCTCTCCAGCTGCTATGTCAGCCAAGCAACATGTGAAAGTGCCCAAATCTGACCTCGATGTCGCGAATCGCGAACCGGTTGTTTGAGTCAGACTTTTGCCGCCAAGCCACAGGGGCGTCATCGTACACCTCCACAACGCGCTGCTGGGACACTCTCCGTAAAGGCTCAGTCACTTCAAGCTCTATATCGCGCGATTCATGCATATGGCATACGTGATAAGACAGAACAGCTCTTTGCCTGTGAGGTAGATGTTTTGCTATGTTTTGTTTCTGGTTCGCTCTGGACTGTTGTTGAGCGCTCAAGACCCCAGCTGACCCAAGATTCGATTGCTTCACTCTTTGCTTGGAATACCATCTCGTCGGCGTATCTTGCCACACTATGTTCCCGTTTGCAGTTGATGCTGTGGCAAACGTGACCGAGACCAACAACACGAACTGGAACTGAGGTTCTCTTCTTTGCCTCTGGCCATTGTGAATGCAGGTACTTAACTGAGCGTCCTCAGTCACCTCCTTAGGTACCTAGATTTGTTGGATCCGGTCAGGCGCTTGTAGCATGATTCCCCTGCTTATGCAAAGCGGCTGCTAATCTCAGCAGAAACCACCAACCTCTAGCACAGAGACCGGCACAGAGAGAGCAGCTGTCGCCGGTCAGAATGATACAAGTTCAGCAGTTCACCATGTCTTTCCACTACAGTATACAATCGACATTTCAACTTTGGCCTCGGATGTGCCCTCCTCAAGGTTCGGCAAGAACTTCCCACGGTCCACTGCACGAAATGCTGCCTTTCGCAAGAAGCACTGAATCCGACTGGGCCAAATCGGGAGAGATGCACTGGGCATGTCGCGTGCCTCCGGCATCCTTGTCTTCACTGCAACTACGGCAGAAGGTTAATGCTTCCTTCTACTACAGAGACCATTGACCATTTGCTCGCCTCAATGTGCGACTGCACAATGGCCCCGCTTTCGACCAAGTGCGATACCAGCGAATCATTGGTATAACCTGAATGGCACAGTTCTTGCAAATCCCAGGCCGTGAACTTCAGCTGCTTGCAAGCGACCTGTCGACCGGTCCAGCAGACGGCGGAACAGCAGCGGCACGGTAATCACACCTCGACTGCCAACACCCCTGCCTGTACAATCTTGTGCACTCCATGCACGGTTCAAAGCCGGGACACGTGGTGCGCTCGACCGCCGAGTAGATGCCTCGCATGATCCGTTAGCCAAAGACTTCGCAAGATGCGAAAAAGAGCTAACGAGGGCCGATGGAGGGCGGTGCCCCAGTGTCCAAGTCCGAGAACCTCTCCTTCCCTTTCGCCGATGGGGCCCGAGGTCTCTTAAGCAAGAGAAACTCCGAGTGGTTCGCTTTCAGAGGGCTTTGGGGCCGGCGAAGGGCCTAGGGATTGGACTCCGCGGAAAGGTCGTAGCTGTGAAGATTTCTCTCAGGTCATGATGGCCCCTGTACAGTGCAACATTCTGTCGGGAAGTAGCATGAAGCACTAAGCAAAGCTTGAAGCGTAGGCAGCTAGGATTCGGCGCTGCAACACTCATGGAGCGAGTCCGAGACCACTTCGAAACCCGCCCCCTGCCCGGTCCCTGCCGGAAAAAAGAAGGCCCCGGGAACTTCTCGGTCGAAGCCCCGTCGTCTCTGCCCCCGGCCTCCGAGGGCTCGGAGGGCTCCTCCCCCTCGTCCAACGAAGGCTCGCTCTCCATGGCTTTCGCTGTTCCGCCAGATCTTCTTAGCTGCTCTGAGCTCTGGTGACTCTGGTGGGTGTCAGGGGTACCTCTCTGTGCTTGTGAGGGGGGGTGCTATGCCTGGCCTGCCTAGCCTCCGTTTGAACATCCGAGTGAGATGCAAGACTGAGTTTGGATGTGCGCTTTGACCCCGTATGACAAAGGCATATGGAGGGCACAGGGATCTGGCAGACTCTAAGCTACCTCGGGGCAGCAGCATGTGATTTAATGGACCTTGATCCAAAGCACAGAAATCGTCGAGGCCACAATGTCGAGTCACGGCAGTCCAAACATTCCGAAATCTCTCTACTCTTGCGAGTGATGCTTTATGAGCTCATATTTTGTGGAGTCGACAGAGGTTCCAACGTCTATGGATCCGTGCACACACTTACTGCTATATACCTACAAAATCCTATGCGCACACATATACACTGTAAGAGGGCCGATCGAGCAAGCTGCGAGAACACAGAGTTTCTTGGCAGCTGCTACGGCTCCCAGCCCTGTCCCTATGTCCTTAGAAGAAATCGGTGACAGCAGCTCTGCCGCGTTTGATGCCTGCTTGCAACCGCATGCTGCCAGCCGTGGGTGGAGGCAAGAACTTCGAACACTCTTTCTCCCTCTCTCTCTCTGCGCGGCTCATCGGGCCTGCATCTGCCCTGCAAGGACAGCTTTCACCACCTTCCCAGCGGAAGTGACAAAACTGGCCTGGTGTGCTAAAAGAAACTGAACGTTGGAAGACACGGCCATTTCAGCAAACAAGCAAGGGAAAGGCGGCACACTGTTACAAACACAGGTCGATGATGCAGACGACAAGTGATAGCAAGATTCTAGCTGAACGCACATTCAGCTTGCTAGAGATGCTTCACAAGTCTGAGATTCCTGAAGTTGCGAAGTGTTGCACGCAGCTTTCGAGACAAGTCGCTGTACAAACTGACCTCTGACCACCGTGCAAAAGAGAAAGAGGGGTCAGAGAGGGGTGGTGGCAAACAGCAGCTTTCGCCTCGAGCATTTGGCCGTAAGCGCGCCTGAGATCTGCAACGACTGCGAAGATCCATGGTTCGGCCCCACGAGAACTTCGGCATGCTGGAGGTTTTGGAGGCGTCTAGGCTCTAGGACCGAAAGCTAAGGCGAGAGCTCGCGGTTTTCGTCCATCTCCACCATGGCTGCGGTACCCGAAGGACACACACAGATAAGGAAGTTTGAAGGGCTTTGGGTTGATGGCTACAGGGTGGAGATGCTAAGGTTGGGCTTGGGGGCTCAGGGCTTGGCATAAACCCGGCGGGCAAGCCAAGTTGCTTTGTCATTTATTGAACGGATGTGCGTGTTGGCTGTGTTTGCAAGGAGATAGCTGCAAGAAGTCGTATCTGGGACCTGGTAACATCTCTTCCAGGATCTTGCTGTTCATCATGGTGTGATGCTCTTCTGTGGCTAGATGCACTCGGATGAGTTGTGTCCTGACCGAGCAAGTACGCAGGGAAGGAAGAGAGCAGCAATTACACCGAGCATGTACGGGTGGCCGCATGAAACCATGGACTGGACATCACGGAAAAACAGAACATAATTTGTTTCTCGGAACCAGCAAAAAGTCGCTTCAGCCTCGGAATCAGACTGATTCTCTCGTCTCTAGTTATACAACTCCAGCAAGCTTCTGTCCTTGGGCATTCTGAACTCATTGATCTTGCGTGCCCCCTGCTATAATGACCGGCGGGAGCCTGAAGCCGTGGTGAAAACTAAACCAAGCTCGGTGGTCCTGCTCTTCCTGGGCTATTGTGACTGTCGTGTTCTGGCTGCTTGCACATCCCAGCTTTGTTACGTGCTGCATCTCGAGAATTTAATTTGAGGAACCTGAAAAATAGGAACCAGATGAACAAATGTTTCATATCTTGTGCGGACTCTTCGCCAGATTTCCAAAAGCATTCAGAGCCTCAACTTGTGGAGACCCACTGCACAAAACTGATTAGAAATCGGTGACTCGACGCTCTGTAGGCGATTGCATCCCAAATTATGCAGGAATCCAAGGAAAACTCGGCAAGCTGGTTTTGTACCAGCAAAACGCCAGGCCAACTTCAGGCCCGCGCCGCAACAGGCCAAAACGCCCACACAAGCATCATCACACATTGACAAGCAACAGATTATATGTTGAGAAGGAGCTTTCATGCTTACGGGCGTTCGGACATGCGGCCAATTAAACTCATTGAAATGTGCTTGCCACAGAGCGACAAGAAGGAAGCGTTTCTCCCTTTGACCGCAAACGCAGGCCTCGTCACCCTTGGACTGCAGCCAGGGTCTCCTGGGGCCAATCGGCCGGTCATAGAACGTCATGATGGAAAGAGAAGTCTTTCATTTTACGTTTCCACGCCGCACACGTCAAATGGACCACGACAAAAAGGTCTAACTCGGTGAAACCGGGAATGGCAGCTCGAAACAAGTCACACTTCTTTTCAAGCGTTTTGGCAACTGGCAAGGCCGTCGTGTGCTATGTGTCGAAATAGGTCCTTCTCATTCTCGAGAATCGTCGGCAAGCTCGTTGCCTGAGTTCAGTTTACCATGCCCCCTGCACTCTGCTTCTTTGCTTCTTTGCTACGCATCCTGGCACATCCCTCCGCTAGCCGCCACAACAGCCGTACTTCGTACGTTATTCAAGCTCGGCCTTGAACATCTGAAACCCGAACCGTCGACAACAGATACAGCACGGCCTTGGTTTCGAAGAGTGACCATATCCAAATCATCATCGGTATGCCCGACCTGAAGACTTCGCTGGTACCAGAGTCGTTCCGCAATTACTTCACGCACTGCTTGCGAGCTCCTTACCTTGGATCCACCCGAAATGCTGACAGGTCGCTTTGCCAAAACGTCGGCCACAGAGTAGCCGACGACTTCCAGTCTTCAGGGCACTGAATCTGGTGCAGCCGTGCTTCGGGAGTCTAGGCTGTATCTATTGCCTGTATGTAAAGCCACACCCACATAATTAATCCGCATCAGCCCGGTAAGTGTCGAGAGCCCTCGTTTGTCTCCTCTCCTCACCCTACCCCCCTCCCCCTGGGTCGCTGATTGCTTATTTTGTGGCTCCTGCAGCCTGTCCTAGGAACTTTGAGTAATAATTGGAGTGTTTCAGCGGCGCAACCTGCTTCTGCGGAACTGAACCAAACATCTCACCAATTAACCCCAGCACTTCAAAATTTGCCTGTCGCCCTGCTCCCGGATCTGCAGGGCCGAGGCGAACGGCGCGGAGCGTCAAGAATCAGTTTGGCTAAGCCACGTCACAGACCCGCGTGAGCATCCACAATCAAAAGCCGACAAGGCACTCTTCGGGAATGGTATGGGTCAGCTCGCCCAGAGCAAAAATCACGGGATACAGACACCAAAGCTCCTTGGCTGCTATCTGCCATCAGCTGTCAGCTGCACATCTACATCGGAAAGCCTGACACGCCGCTATAGCCTGAGGCAAGATGCAATGGTCCGGGAGGCCACAAATTTGAACTTCCCTTCTGCCTCTCCACCTTCACTTTCAGCGTGCTGCTGCGATGCCGCACACGAATTACACTCCGGCACTCTCCATGTATGCTCCCCATTCTCAGGCGCAGAACATGTAGGATTCGTGTCTCAGTATGTGCTCCGCAGCCCCGCACCTCGCTCCTCAGCTGCGCGCTGGAGCACGGTGAAGAGAAAGGCGACCTGGGAAATCCAAAGAGGAGTGGAAGGAGTGGAAGCCGGCACATGTATCCTCGCTTTCTGTTCAGCCGAGGCTGAGGCCATGCCGGCGAAGCAGACGGTGCCCATTCCAAAAAAGCACCATTTTCCTGTCATTATATGGACGGGGGAAACCTTCTGGTCTGCACGAAAGATCAAGGGTATATGTTAATGCAATTTGATGCAGAAGCGACATAGCAGGCTCTCTCTCTCTCTCTCTCTCGATTGCGCAGAGCAAGTCCACAAGTGAGACTACTCGTCAGCAGCCCTTTCAGCTGTTAACGCAACACTTCTAACTCGGCCCAAGCTCGTCTATTAAAAGCGAGTGGCTGTAG